CAGGGGTAGAATTATGACTTCTCCCAACTGTTCAGTTTAGCAAACTCCGTTCTTCACGACTCTCGGGACACTAGTTTGTTCAATAAACAAACAAAAATGATGTAACAAAATTAATGGAAATTAAGATTTAGACTTGATTTTCTAAATCCAAAGTTATGCATTCACCAAGGTTAATTCCTGTGGTTTTATCAACTGTTATTGTAGGGCAATTGTACAAGAAGGTTGGGTCCACTGTACACATCCTTGTTGAAAGTACAGTTGAACCTGCCCCGGCAGTGACGCATCAAAGACAACCGTCTCAACAAACGACCACTGCCCCCCACCCCCACCCCACACACACTTTGTTTATACCTTTATGTTGACATTGCCAAAGACCGCCACTTGTGCAACCAGACGCAACCGCTTTATTTCATCAACCAAAAGCCCCTTAATTCTGCTTATTTCTAGTAAGTAAGTAAGTTTATTCAGTGTTTAAGGCCATTGGTCCACATCACATCGCACCAAACATTCATTTGATAAATAATGTTTCCATAACGAATAGGTAAAGGTTATGCACATATCTCTTATCATGAGTCAAACATTGCATATTTCTGTCAATGGGCTGAGTCAGGCTGGGGGAATTAACAATTTCCATTGAAGGACAAAGTGTGAACAATAGAAAATAAAGTGAAATTCATCTTCAATTTCATGAGAGTTACACCTGTCTGCTTAATTCGATTTATATCGAAAGCCTTTCATCGACCAACACGTTGCCATAGGTTAACCCAACAACTAAAAATATCCCCTAAACCTCCCTTTCTTTCCAATCTCCAAAACAAAAAAGATCAAAACCTTTTAATGAGTCTTACGCCACGGCAGTCCCTAGCCTGCGCCCTCCTCTGGTTTGGCCAAAAAATGGGTTTGTTTTTCCATTCAATTAAATCTTATCTTACCCAGTCTCATGATGCGGTGGAATTAGGAGCTCGTCAATTGTTGGGAGTGTGCAATTATTGGTGTCACCTTAAATCTTGTTCATTAAAATTTTGTCTATCTTTGAAAGAAAAAAATATCAAACTACTAAGCAGTTAAGATATTTGCGACTGAAGGAGGGGGGGTTGCATGGTTTTAGTGGTGAAATTAGAGAGAAAATGGCAGTCAAAGTTTGGTGACTTCTATAGCTTGAAAGTGCCTACAATTGGTAAATTTGCTTTTTTTGTACTTTTAATCAACGTTTTTCAGTAACATTCACACAGATATTAAAAGTATTTTAAATGCACATTGAAGGTTTTGAATTTTTTTTTTAACTTCGATAAAAAGTGCTCAACGGGAAGAAACTATGCCTTACGGATTACTTATCCCTAGTCTGGGATTTCTTACAGATCATGTGCTAAGTTTAATCGTTTTAAGACTGATCAAACGTAACATTTTGATGTGCTGTTTGACTTATTGTTTTTCAAAGTGGCAGCACCTTCCCCAAAGCCTTTGGGCTTGCTGTCTGAAGCTGGAGTTGAACTTGAGATAGACGAACACGTTGAGGGAGGAGCAGCTGACCATGAGACAGATCCGGAACAAGCCGATCACAGAGAACAAGTCACGGTATTTTCTGAAGTCGTTGTACTCGGGCTCGATGTAGGACGCGTATCTATTGAGAACCGAGGGGAGGTTGCAGACGACGAACATAAGCACGAGAACGATCACAGACTGCACGGCTCGCAATTCCTTCCCAGAGAGCTCAGGCCGAACGTCCTTGACATTTGACCCTTGGGCGTCTGATCTTTTCGCTTTCGAAGTTTTGGTGGCATTCTTATTAGCTTTGTTCTCCGATCTTTGTCTGAATTTGGACGTTTCGCGAAGTCGGTTGGTCAAGATGATTAAACAGACTATAACTATTACCTGTGCTGCGGTTGGGACCACCACGTCCATGGTGTTTTGAAAAACGAGAACTCGTACAGAGAAGTCCTCCGAGAACCAAAAGACAACCATCGTCGTGTTCTGAGTAGGATCCACAACAGATTGAAAGCCGATTGAAGCAAACAGGGGGATATAAAAGGCAAATACAACAACCACCAATATAACCAAAGTCAGCAATGCTTTTTCTGAAGTGAAGATCGTTTTGAAGTGAAATGGGAGAGCAACACAGCAACATTTCTGTACGGTCAGGTACACAGTGATGACTGCAGATGTTGTATACATCATATGAAAATATGAAACGACTTGGAACGATATCATGAAAAGAGGGATACCCTCAAAACTTGTACGGAGGCCAGCAAACTCGACGAATCGAATAAGTGTTGACACAAGAAAGATAAGGAGGAAACTTAGGTCGGCGATTGTGAGTACAAATAGTGTCACGGATGTGGCAGTCTCTGTAACACCCAGGCGCGCAAAGATGAAAAGGTTGCAGATGTTGCTAACAATTCCAAAGACCATCATGGAGGTGTTAAAGGAGCGAATGACCAAAGTGACAATAGTGAGGTTGTCTATGCTGATGTAGCGTGCCAGAGATGAGCTGTTAAGGCGGGAGTCGTCCTCAAAATTAGCCTCATGTCGACTCGAGTTTGTAGACATCCTGCTTGACAGAGCGTTCGATGCAGTGGAATTTGTTAGTAGTTGGCACTTCTTTACTATTCTTTTGTTATCCCAGTCTGTTTTGCGTTCTGCTAAGACCTTCAGGCTATGCTTGCGTTTTTGCGATC